CTTCCTTCCTTCCTTCCTTCCTTCCTTCCTTCCTTCCTTCCTTCCTTCTCTTTCTCTCTCTCTTTTTTTTTTGCATCAAACGTATTTTATTTGGCAGAACCCCTTGTTCTCCTGAACTAAATTTGAATGGGAAATAATAAATCAGTCAATTCCCTCTATATAATATGACAGTACAACTTCCACGGCTCGGGTACCACTATTCCAGTATTTAAGGTATCAGACTGACAACAACAATCAGATTTTTCCTTTTTGTATATGAAAAATGCAAGTGCATTTTTTTTTAATGTGGGAGAGCGCGATTAAAAATTAATTAATATAAACAACTCTGAAGAATTGCCACTATGCTTAATGTCACATTTACTACCTTTTAGCACTAAAAGCAGACGTTATTCTGCTCTAGCAAACTGTTAATATTTTCCACTAAGATTTATTAGTGCATGAATATAAAAGCATCCAGCTACTATTGGATGATGACTGATATAGCTATTGAGGAATGTTACGGCGCCTTGATTGTCTGAAATGGTTTTATTTCTTTGTGCTTTATTATCTTTGTGTGTTGTTGTGAGCCACCCAGAATTATGTTGTATAAGATATTAATCTTTTAAATAAACAAATATAAGTAAATAAATAAATAAATAAATGTTTGCTGGATCAAGCGGAAATGGAAGAAAGTCTTCTTACTTTCTCAGTAAGTACATCTTCCATGATTTTTTGTGATCACTACTTGTATCAAATATTGGTTTTCCTAGTTTCAATCAGTAGGCCAACTATATATCCAAAATGTATTTAGAAATAAAAAATTGAAAGAAAAACATAACTATTCCTAAGGTTTAGGAATAACTTTTTTTAAAAGATGTTGATAAATACAAAGAACCATACAATGGAATGTTTAAGATGTTGATTTTGGACTAGGGCAATGTTTTTCAACCTTGGCCACTTGAAGATGTGTGGACATGCTGGCTGGGAAATTCTGGGAGTTGAAATCCACCCATCTTCAAGTGGCCAAGGTTGAGAAACACTGGACTAAGGAAACTCAAGATCAAACCCTCACATCATCAGAAAATGGGCTAGAGTTTGGCCAACCTCTCTTGAAACAAATCACCCCACATGGTTTTCGAGGGATCAAAATTAGGGAAGGCCATTACATATTCTGCTTTTAGCTTCCAGAGGAAAATGTGGGCTGCAATAATAATAAATACAGCAGGCAAGCAAACTCTGGCAGAACATACTTTAATTTGTCAACATTGTCCCCTTAAAGCTCTCCCTGAAACAATCCAATTATATGGAATTGTTTCAAATCGAGAAATACACACTGGAGAAAGACTTGTTTTTATTTCACTGCAACATCCTTAACATTGCTGAGAAAATCTCACTTAAAACCTTCTACTGATTAAGAAAGGAATTAACATTAAACACTTTACTTGCAAACAGAGACAGATATAGCAAAAGAGACACTTAAAAGGCTGTGAACATTTAAATAATCCCTAGGAATATAAACAAAAGGAAATAAAACTGAAACAAATTATATTAAAAAAATATTTAAAGTTATTTTCTTTAGACCAGTTCATCTCTTGGGGAAATATTATAGAAATAACCTGCATTTTCCCACTACATTTTATTTTTTAATTCTCCCTAATTCTTATCATTCACAACAATTTATTTCAAATACAATAAATATTACACAGTAAATAATAATGTAGTTTAGAGAAATAAGGCTTACCCTGTCCAGAATTATATATTGCTTTTACAGATTTTTTCACTTTTTGTAGTGCAGTTCTGTCCTGATCTAAGGCCTAGAAGGAAAAAAAAAAGAGAAAGAAAGTGAAATATTATGCTAAGGGAAAAGGAACTTCTGTTTTAAATTGTATATTTCATTATGAAACAAGCAGGCAAGTGCAGAATAATTTTGCCAGATGTAAAATATTGTTTAGGCACTGTTATCATCCTCTGGGAGAACTTTTATCACCCAGTTCCTTCAATTTAATTACAAATGGTTGAACAGAAGGTTGGAAGGGAATACAGGTAGTCCTCACTTAACATCCATTTGTTCAGCAACCGTTTAAAGTTACGATGGTGCTGAAGGGACTCACAACTGGTCCTCAAAGTTCTGGCCATTACAGCACCCCCATGGTCGTGTGAACAAAATTTGGGTGCTTGGCAACTGTCTTGCACTTACAACTGGTTGCAGTGTCCCGTGGTCACCATTTGTGACCTTTCCTTCCAGCTTCGCACAAGCAAAGTCAACAGGGAAGCCAGCAGGGAAGGTCACAAGTCGCTCAGGTAAGTCTCCTCCATTCCCCTGGCCTTTGCTCACACACATGCCCTCCTTCACCCTTCGCTTGCATGTACCACACCGTCCTTTCCCCCACCCTTCCTCTGCTAGTGCCACTCTGCAGCACCCCCCTCCAACTCATGTGCAGCCTGCGCTGGGTCTCCAGGGCATCCCCCACCCCACCCGTGATACCCCCCCACCTTACCTGGGACTCCTGTTGCTAAGCGATGCGGTCATGTAACATCGCGCTCTATGACTGCATCACTTAGCAATGGCAATCCAGTTCCCAAATGCCATCGTAACTCAAGGATTACTGCAATAATTTCAGAAAACAACTGCAGTAGAACTAAAGGACAGTACTTAATTCAGCCTGGAATCGTGTATGTTAAATTAAATTGTATATGTGAACTGTGGAGGGTTGAACTGTGGAGTCCTTGGTGCTGTCTGAGTTTGGTTGTTTGCTTGCAGATGTGTCATTACCCAACTAGGTAACATCATCAGTATTGCATTACCCAGCTAGCTAACATTATCATCACTCGTGTTGATGATGTTATCTAGTTGGGTAATGAAATGTCTGCCAACCAACAACCAAGCTCAGATAGCACCAAGAACTTCATATACACACACACACGCACATCTACATACACACAAACACAGAATTTACATCTGCACAAGCACAAATATCTGTTCCTGGAATTCCATAGATTTAAATATTAGGATTGTGCAGCAGTAGAGAGGCATTTTTTAAAATAATTCCATGCAAATGATTCCAATTGGCATAGTCATCTCAAAGTCCACACAAGCATTTGGGCTACATAATATGTTGTCAGGAAGGAGGAGCCATGAAATCCCTGCTTTTCAGTTCTTTAGAATAATCACCTAGGGAGCAGACATCATACAATTTTGAAACTGCCAAATCACTCGAAGAGGAAAGTTTTCTGCAAAAACATCTGTGGCCCACAGACAGTTATCTGCAACTCCTTAAACCAAATGTGGAAGATAGCTGTGTGATTCTGGGTAAAGATCTAGCTAAGTACTTTAAAGAGTTGCCAATAAATGTTGCGTGAGTGCCCTCATTACTCCCCTGTGAAAATAGAGTACCAGTACAACTATGTGGATCAACTTATTTCTATATTGAGTGTCACAGTGCCATTTTATACAGATGTTCCTATAAGCAGACACCACTGAGAACAATGGCACTTACTCTCTAGCAAATGTGTTTAAGACTGTAGCCTCAATGTGGAATAGAAAGGCATACGCTGAGGTCCCAGGGCCACATGTGGTCCCCAGAACCCTTGAATACAATCTCCATAAGTTGCTTCAAAATTGTCATTATATTAAGAGTAACAATGTGCATAGGGGCATTCAAAACATATTTTCAAACACATTTGAATCATAAATCATTGACTGATGCTATTACAGGCATTTAAAATATATTTAGAATTAGAGGGATAATTTCTTCATTATTGTTTGTGTTATGAATCAACCATTTTGAAATACAAATAAATAGACCATGTGTATGAAAAACTGCATGGAAACTGACATCTGGACAATGAAAATGGATTCTCTATGCCCTAAACAGATAAAAGACTTACTCTTCAGCATTGGAAAGATAAATATATGGCCCCCATGGTATGCAGAAATGATATTAACAATTTACCAATATATCACTTACTGACAGAGATTAGCTATGAATGATTATATTGAAATGTGGCTACCATTCATTATGTAGAACTTTTATATATTATATATTTATATCCATGAATAAATGCCCTGCTTTTGTTTCTTCTGTTTGTTTGTTTTTTCTTTTTTAAATTTCTGGATTGTTTATGTTTCAGTTTGCTTTTGTACTCAATTAATAAAAGCAATAGTAATAGTAATAAAAGACAGTCTGAATAAAACCACATAACACCGAACACTTAGACAATTAAGAACATGGTTTAATTTTTTTCAAGTGTAATAAATTATTAATACCATGTTCATTAGGTGAACAATTATAAAAAAAGAAAGCTTTCTAAATGGAAAATATTCGTTTGAAATATATTTCATAATTGCATGAGACAAGGAGAGAAATTACATTTTTATGAAAGAACATCAAATCAAAATAAAATAGTTATCAATATATTACAGAATAAGTTTCATTTCTCTCAGTGATTATTCAATTTAATTAGTTCTACAGGTGAAATACAGCATCTGGTATTCTGCAAGATATAGTGAGAAAATAGGAAGCCTTTCACCTCCTGGACATCAAATAATCCAGCTCTGATCAACAATTCACAAATGTTACCATCTGCTTGGTCTCTGGCATCTTGTATCCAGGATAAAATGACTTAGTATTTTCAGTGTATTCTCCCATAAGTAAAATAAGAGGCTTATTGGTTAATTATCTTACAGGTTAAAACATTTGTGTCATACCTGCCATTATTATGGTACACTCAGTCACTACAAAATAAATTAAGTTTAACAACTTGGTTTAATTACTAGTATTCAGTGGTACATTTGCCCAGAAAATCTAGAAAAAAATAAACATCCTAATGAACACTACCAGAACATATTTTACAAAATAATAGCTCCAAGGTCCAGTTATTTAAATTTTTTTAAATTAAAAATGCTAAGAAAGTGAACACTTTTAAAGTTAGGTTTACAAAATATGTTTTAATGTTAGGTGTCAGCAAAAATAGTGAGGTTGGCGCAATTTTTCTCCATCCTGTGATTTCAGTGTTGAATTATAACTCCTGTAACTCCCAGACTATTGTAGTCCAAAACTTCTGGAAGTCACCAAGGTAGCCAAAGCTAGTTTAGCAAAGAATAAAATTTTTAGACTTGACATTTCAATTTCCATTTGAAATTAATAATTTCTTTTTCTAGACACCTGGGCCAGTTGATTTCATGGATTAGCATCTGAACTTTGTATAGAAAATCGAAGTATTGTATACACCATGAGGACTAGAAATTCAAGTATGGGATACATCATGAAAGGACATTTTATGAATTCATGAACATTGTACAGCATCTAAAGAGAGGAGATTGAACAATTTAATTTTGCAAATTGCATTATGAACTGATCTGATAAGTGTCCTCCGCACAAGTGCAGATATCAAAAGTAATTCATCACCCTCTGCACTTTTCATATATTCCAACACAGTATCAAAATACATTTTAAACCATAATTGTTGAAAAAAATGTAGTTATAAAATAAAAGCTGATATCTTTGATTAGTATAAAATGGGACTGATCTGATTTACTAAAATATTTTCCAAAAGCTGTTCCTTATAGGACTGTCTGAAAGCAGTTTCCAAGAAATAAGTACACATTGCTGGTAACCTCCAACTTAAACCCTAAAGCAGTGTTTCTCAATCTCAGCAACTTGAAGATGTGTGGACTTCAACTCACAGAATTCCCTAGCCAGCATGCTGGAAGTTGAAGTCTACACAAGTTGCCCAGGCTGAGAAACACTGCTATAAAGAATATATATGAGCTTCTAGTATCCATATGCACCCCTGAATAAATGTCCCGTGGTGTCCCAAGAACTCTGTTTCCTTGTACATTGCTGCCAGCTCACAGTAAATTATGTTATGAGAAATTATCTTATAGCAAGACCACTACTGTTTGATTCAACTCCCATATACCAACAACTTTGTGAATATCCTTAAGAAGAGGCTCTCTCAAGTGGAGCATAATATGATTATCCTTTGGTCTCAGAAGGTGGTAGCATCAAACCATCTTTGGCTATCTTGAAAAAAAAAGAATTGGGACTTCTTAGTATTGATTGAGGCATCAACAAGAAATCTCAAGGTGAAGTAAAAAAAAATTCTAGAAGTCCATATTATTGTTAAAAAGAAAAAAGCCTACAAGTCATCATGTGGTCTCCTAGTGTCAACTTGACTGCTTTACCTTGAGTTATCACCCTACAACACACTTCAACTGCATTTTCCTACATTTCAAAGGATTCTTTTACCCACTGATTTCAATACAGGTAGTCCCTAGTTTAAGAACGAGTTATGTTCCCAAGGTCTGTCCTTAAGTTGAATTTGTATGTAAGCCGGAACAGTATTATTGTATAATACTGTATAAGTAGTATTGTATAATGAACTCAAACCACTGTGTATTTAACTCAAATTTTGCTACAATAGGCTCCGTTCTTAACCATGGGTCATCCATAAACTGGGCGTTCTTAACCCAGGGACTAGTCTAGTGACCAAAACAAATTGATGATTTTCTTCTCTCCAGAACAAGAAAGTACTTGCCATTACTTTAACCTATATGAATTATTTCTTGATGATTACAGAAACAAATGCAAATTAGAGTTGGAAGTCCAAGAGAGTGATGGGAATAACAAATAGAAATTACTTCCCCTTTCTAACCCATAGCTAAGATTACTCATTTCAGTCAAACCAAGATATTAAAGACAGATTAATATGTAGTTCTAAAAGCCAAATGTCCCCCCCAAGCTCCTTTTACATTTAAAAATACATTTCCCAATATAATGATATTCTCATCTTAGTAACAGCTATATATTAA